TAGTCCTATACCGACAGCCGAGGGGTGCGGATCAACTTGTCAAACATACATACATATACCTCTAATTTCGTTTCGGAGTTTATTTAATTTACTTTATTTTGTCTCTCTTTTGAGCCTCGACCAACCACCCCTTTATTTATTATTTTATCTTTCCTTATGAGCCTTCCTTCATCCCTTACATCCCTGCATCCCCTACATCTCTACATCCATTACATCACTTCATCCCTTACATCCCTGCAATCATTTTATCCCTACATTCTTGACATCCCTACATTCTTTTCATCCCTTCATCCCTTACATGCCTACATTCCTTCATCCCTTACATCCCTGCATCCCCTACATCTCTACATCCATTACATCACTTCATCCCTCACATCACTTCATCCCTTACATCCCTTACATGCCTGCAACCCCTACATCTCTACATCCATTACATCACTTCATCCCTTACATCCCTGCATCCCCTACATCTCTACGTCCATTATATCACTTCATCCCTTACATCCCTGCATCCCCTACATCTCTACGTCCATTATATCACTTCATCCCTTACATCCCTACATTCCTTCATCCCTTACATCACTGTATCCTTTACATCCCTGCTTTCCATACATCTTTGCATCCTTACATAACCGCAACCCTTAAACTCCTTATCCCTTATATCTTTCATATCCGTCATATCCGTAAGCTCTTTTTGAGTAAAAAAAAGTTACAAATTTAGTTCCTTTTTTTGCCCCCAGATGGCGCTGACTCGAGGTCGAAATTTTAGTTCACATTTTTGCCGCTAGGGGGCCAAAAATTGAGCATGATTTAGTTCCTTTTTCCAAAACCAGATGGCGCTGACTCGAGGTCGAAATTTTAGTTCACATTTTTGCCGCTAGAGGGCCAAAAATTGAGCATGATTTAGTTCCTTTTTCCAAAACCAGATGGCGCTGATTCGACATCGAAATTTTAGTTCAAATTTTTCCCGCTAGAGGGCCAAAAATTGGGCATGATTTAGTTCCTTTTTCCAAAACCAGATGACGCTGACTCGAGGTCGAAATTTTAGTTCACATTTTTGCCGCTAGAGGGCCAAAATTGCAGCATGATTTAGTTCCTTTTTTTGTCCCCAGATGGCGCTAAATTTATTCGTACTTTAGTTCCTTTTTCCGCCGTTAGAGGGCGCTATTTTTCATAAAAAATTTACTTACCTTTACTTACCTTTACTTACCTTTATTCGAACCAGTTTTTATAATATATTATTATATTTATGATGTATTTATTATAAGGGATAAAGGGATGTATGGGATGCAGGGATGTAAGGGATGTAGAGATGTAGGGGATCCAGGGATGTAAGGGATGAAGGAATGTAGGGATGTAAGGGATGAAGGGATGAAAAGAATGTAGGGATGTCAAGAATGTAGGGATAAAATGATTGCAGGGATGTAAGGGATGAAGTGATGTAATGGACGTAGAGATGTAGGGGATGCAGGGATGTAAGGGATGTAAGGGATGAAGTGATGTAAGGGATGAAGTGATGTAATGGATGTAGAGATGTAGGGGATGCAGGGATGTAAGGGATGTAAGGGATGAAGTGATGTAATGGATGTATAGATGTAGGGGATGCAGGGATGTAAGGGATGAAGGAATGTAGGGATGTAAGGGATGAAGGGATGAAAAGAATCTAGGGTTGTCAAGAATGTAGGGATAAAACGATTCCAGGGATGTAAGGGATGAAGTGATGTAAGGGAAGAAGTGATGTAAGAGATGCAGGAATGTTGAGAAACCAGGGCTGTAAAGAATTCAGGAATGTGAGGGTGTCATAGATATAAACGATGCATGGATATAAAGAACGCAGGATGTAAGGAGTACTGGAATGTTGATAAGGCAGGGATGAAAGGGGTACAGAGATGTAAAGGAATCAGGGATGTAAAAGATCCACACAGAAGTAATAAAATTAACACATTTTTCCTTCTGATGAGTTTATTTAGTAAGCTTAGAAGGAAAATACAGCAAATTAAATGAACGCAGAAAATAAAATAAGGGTATACATACAGTGCCGTAACGAGGGTTTGAAGCGCCTGTATCAAGTATCTAACTTGCGCCTCAGCGTAACCCAATAATGATTAAAAATTTTAATGTAACAAGTTAAATTTTGCTAAATGCAATACATTAAACACTATTAACGTCATCAAAATGAGTTGCCTGTATATACGATAATGTATTTATCAAAGTATTCGTGTGAATAAATAATCTATAATCTAAATAAGAACAGATTTTTATTTATATTCTGCAGCGACAAAATAAAAGAAATACAAAACATAGGTGTCTGATAAAATAATATAATAAAAACAAAACAGTTCAGCTTATTTTATAAAGTAATTTTATTATATCGTAAAAAAATCCGGGACTCCGCTGCGCCAATGACATCCTTTGGATACTGATCTGATATTATTGTGGGGTGTTAGGGACCCCGAAGCATCGGTGAATCTGTCTGCTTAACGATATATCATCTTGGGGTATTAGGAACCCCGAAGTACCGATGAATCTGTTTGCATACCGAGATATCATCTTGGGGTGTTAAGGACCCCGAAGCAACAGCGACGTTCTTTGTATACCGACAATATGTCGCCCGGGGTGTCAGGGACCCCGAAGCACCAGGATCTAGCGAAATATAAGACCTAAAACCGAACAAATCGTGAAACTCGCTTGTTCCAGGTAGTGATGGGCACTACAATTATTTACTATAAAACATTCTTGTAAATAATTAAGAAGTTATTCACTCACAAACAATGAAAATGTTAGATTTACAAATCACAAACGATTTCCAATCAGTTACAGTTATCAGTTGTCACGAAATCTGTTTAGTATAAAAAATTACTAAAATGTTTCGACTCTCATCATGATTGAAATAAAATTGCTAATTAAAAAAGAATTATATCTTCACAAATGTTAAAAATAGACTCACAATTAATCACAAACGATTTACGAACGAAATGCACTAAGAAAAATTAAAAATAATCATATTTTATTACTCCTTCTGGCTAGTTTCATGTATGTACTAAAATTATATCGTCTCGGGGTTCTAAAGACCCCAAGCATCGACAATTCTGTATACCTAGATTATATTGTCTCAGGGGTTCTAAGGACCCCGAACGTCCGATGATTCAGCATACCAAGATTGTATCGTGTCGGGGTCCTAAGGATCCCGAATCACCGATGTTACAGCATGCTAAAATTATATCGTCGGGGGTTCTAAGAACCCCGAAGCATCCTTGATTCTGCTTACCAAAATTATGTTATCAAGGGGTTCTAAAGACCCCGAAGCACATTGATTTTGTATACCTACATTATATTGTCTCGGGGTTCTAAGGACCCCAAAGCTCCGATGATTCTGCATGCCGACATTACGGTATCTGGGGTGTCAGGGACCCCAAGGAAGTAGCGAAATATAAGAACGAAAAACGAACAAATCGCGAAACTCTCTTGTTCGGGATAGTGATGGGTTCGAGCGGATCTAGCGAAATATAAGAACGAAAAACGAACAAATCGCGAAACTCACTTGTTCGGAATAGTGATGGGTTTGACCGGATCTAGCGAAATATAAGACCTAAAACCGAACAAATCGTGAAACTCGCTGGTTCCAGGTAGTGATGGGTACGACCGGGTCTGTAGCGCATGGGCACTACAATTATTTACTATAAAACATTCTTGTAAATAATTAAGAAGTTATTCACTCACAAACAATGAAAATGATATATTTATAAATCACGTACGATTACCATTCAATTTCAGTTATCAGTTGTCACGAAATCTGTTTAGTATAAAAAATTACTAAAATGTTTCGGCTCACATCATGATTGAAATAAAATTGCTAATTACAAAAGAATTATATTGTCACAAATGTTAAAGATAGACTCACAATTAATCACAAACGATTTACGAACGAAATACACTAAGAAAGATTAAAAATAATCATATTTTATTATTCCTTCCGGCTAGCTTCATGTACGTACTAAAATTATATCGTCTCGGGGTTCTAAAGACCCCAAGCATCGACGATTCTGTATACCTAGGTTATATTGTCTCAGGGGTTCTAAGTACCCCCAAGCTCCGATGATTCCGCGTACCAAAATTGTATCATGTCGGGGTCCTAAGGATCCCTAGTCACCGATATTATTGCATACTAAAATCATATCGTCTTGGGGTTCTAAGAACCCCGAAGCATCCTTGATTCTCCTTACCATAATTATATTGTCAAGGGGTTCTAAAGACCCCGAAGCGCATTGATTCTGTATACCTATATTATACTGTCTCGGGATTCTAAGGACCCCAAAGCTCCAATGATTCTGCATACCGACATTACGGTATCTGGGGTGTCAGGGACCCCAAGGAAGTAGCGAAATATAAGACCTAAAAACGAACAAATCGTGAAACTCACTTGTTCGGAATAGTGATGGGTTTGACCGGATCTAGCGAAATATAAGACCTAAAAACGAACAAATCGCGAAACTCACTTGTTCGGAATAGTGATGGGTTTGACCGGATCTAGCGAAATATAAGACCTAAAAATCAAACAAATGGCGAAATAGTAATTGCAAGATTATACTTACCATTCATTTTTATATTTTACAATTGTTTATTAATAAAATTATTGTTATATCTATTTAAGTAGTTTATTTCTTTACATTTTCGCATGGGTGGCTTATTTTTAAGCAAATTGTTAAAAAATACAAACGTAGATGCTGGTATAATATCATACTTTATTCTTCAGTCAATAAAATATACAAATTAGAAGATTCTTACCAAACGTCGGTGTGGATCGCGTGATTGTCCTTGAAATGCCAATAAATAATTAATTACAGATGAAATGCTTACATAATATATGTATATTAGAAAATAGGTACTGCATTACACTTTATTCTTTAACCATCAGAGACTGGGAAACTTGGAAAATCGATAATAGAAGAAATCAGCCACTAACACATTAAATATAATACAAAGCCAACGAGTATAAAAAATTTTTTTTATTAATGTCAACTTTAAGGGTTTCAGGGTATTTTTAAATAGATTTTACATTATAATTTAGTTTTACATATGGGTTTCTTTAGGGTCACATGCAATATATTTATATAATAATAAAGAATGTCAAATCCTTAAAGTAAAGAATGAGAAATCCTTCTTAAAATAGAAGGAATAAACGGGACAATAAATTTGTGTATAACAATATTCTATTCACAACGATGATATGATAAATTAGCATCGAGAGGCAACAATTTCTTTTCGGAAATGGTACAACTTACATTATATATATGTATATATATGAATGTATGTATATATTATATATAGTATAACAACACTGCGGAAAGCTTGAAAACACTCCATTCAAATTACGTTTATTTTCTTTTTTTCATCGTTTATAGGCATATCATTATATGTATGTATTTATGTATGTATGCATGTACGTATATATGTAATATATATGTATATATATATTACTTCCTAGCGCGTGAATCTTTATGCTGTGCTACGTTAAAAACTTTAAACAATAATACTTTCCATTTTCAGCACATAATCACCTTTCTCTCGATCACTGATATACAATAAATAAATATTCATTCATTCGATCATATCACACGACTATAATGTTAAGAAAAAATAATCGTTCTTACTAGCAACGCTTGCAGTCACTGTGATATAGTATTCTCCACTAAGAATTCTAGAACAGTTAAGAAAATGACAACAGCGTGCAAAGCAAAGAATTTGATTTAAATGGTAATGTCTCAGATGATTTCATATAAATATAAATTAATAATGCAATAATTTAAAGTGTATGGAACTCTCAATGCACGCAGATTTCCCTTTTCCTTAACTATTCTGATGTTATAGAAAATGCACATTTACTCGTACTGTCTCCACAAAAGTTAAATTCTGTCAATCATTCATCATTTTCCTTGTTACACCTTGTAAATGTGTTTCATAATTCTTATTCCTGGCCGATATACATTGAATCATAATGAATCTTTCCGGGGTATGTACTAGATATCTTTAAAAAGATAGCGTTTAAGAAAATGGGTAACTTTACTCCACTGTTTTTGACATAAATTTATGATAATGTAAAACAGATACATTCAACAGCTACTCCGTCATAGGATAGCTTAACAGTGAGATCAGTAATGTTCCCTTTTTCTTTTCCATAGTGTAATATTACAGACTTATAAAATGTCGAATTTAACTCGTCTACGATTTTCTCTCGCTATCACTTAAACTTGTTGTTTATGTAACTCACACGTAGAAGAAGTTAAAAGAATTCAACATTGTGAACTTGTTACATTTAGAATTGATAATATCGTATCTAGAATTGATTGTTCCTTGTTACGTCGTTTGTTCATATGTTTGTATCGCTAACGATTGTACGATGTAGTCGATATGAGAAACGTGAACAAATGATGACAGATTTTATAGCACGTTAAAGTGAAAGAAGTGACTTAATCGGTGTACAGAGCGATTCTTTTTTAGGCTTTGTTCTCTTAAGTGTCCTATTACTTTCATGACATTAACACGCAGCTATAAAGAGTTTTATAACTCTGCAGTCGATAACGTGACGGGGGGTGAAAGATACGTTGATCTTTCTACGGAAACATTATAATTACTACGCATTGCCGCTCGGACAAAAGTGGTGCCAGCCACTTCTACATCACAACCAAAGAATCCTATTACATCGACACCTTTAGTTCTTCACGCACGCTCAACCCCTTCCTTTCAAAAAGATGAAAAAAAAGAAAAAAATAACAACGAGAAACTAAACACAGAAGCAGGTACTCTAAGAGTTAATCGTGTATCGATTTTACGGTGGCGATACAGATTTGATCACAAAGAGAGACGAAGGATAATAACAACAATAATAACGCCTAATACGCTTCCTCAGAATGCCCGAAGAGTGTGTCGACCAAAAATTAACACATTAAATGACAAAATATATAATATATGTATGTATATCTATATATCGAAAGCAAAACCGCACTGTTTCTCTGTACATGTATCTTTATCTGTACCTACTCTACTATTGACATAAATTTACTATATGCTATATAAAATATACAAATTCTTAAAATACTACATGAAAACTATGGCTCCTCGTATGCGGTTTAGAAATAGGATTCAACCATCGCAACACTCTATTACCACTTCGTTTGTTTAAACATAAACTTCAGTAGAAAATAAAAAATGTCGTTGTTTGAAAGTACCGTTCGCCCCCCTGCCATTTTTTCCCATTTTGGTGCCTTTTTTTCGCAATCAATCTTGTTACTCGATGTATCCGTTTCTAATGCGTATAAATTAATTACACTTGTCTACTAGGGGGTACTATTTATAATATTTACAAGAACTTAAATGAGATTAACATCGCGTATGTATATGGTATGTATACACACATTAACGCGTGACAGGCATAATATGTAACATATAAATAGTACTCTTTCCTTCGATTCTCTTGCACCTCCATTCAACAATTAATTAAAACTAGGCGATAACAATACTAAGGTAAATAAACATTGCAAGACATTAACACATGTATGTATAAGAGTATTGACGTCAAAAATTCATAATTAATGATAGACTCGGTGAAAATAAATCTGCGATACATGTATCTATGAACGTATATACAGAGATACATCTGGTCCAATGAATATTAAGTATTCATGTAAATAACCAATATTTTCTTACATATGTACATAGCAGATACCAAAATTGATAATATAACAGAGGATGACTCAACGTTGGTTATTGTCGATGTTCAATATGTCATATTATAATATATTGCTCAAAGTAAATTGCTGACAAAATGAACACAAGAATCGCCTGGTTGTTGCAATAAACGTTGAGACATATATAATCGAACAAAAACCGTAATAAAATAAATCTACGTAGCACTGAATGATATAGAATCTTTCATAGCAATGGTATTTCTCCAGCTTTTCAAGCAAATTTTGTCAAAAACCACTCGTTACTTAATCACGACCATTTTCCGTGGTTTAGACTATTTGCAAACATAAGTATTAATATATGTTACCAAGAAATTCCTGAGACACAAGTTATAGGTTTGCCAGTAGTTGTCAATGAAAAGAAGAACAAAAATCCGAATTACTTTTAAGGAACCAGTTCTGACGTTCCTTGAAATTAAAGTATGAATTTATTATGAGCAATGAAGCTAATTTCCAGAGGAATCGAAAGACTAGAAAAGTTGTCAGAAGTATAGAGTTTACAGTCAAGAGATGGATCAAGGTACAGAGACACTTTACCCCTTTGTTGAGAAAAAGTGAAGCTAGAGACATATTCGTTCGGAGCGGAAGTACTGATTAATTCGAAAAATTAGCAGAAACATTGAATCTATCCACGACTTCATCGTCTGCAGACTCAATGTAGACAGAACTGAAGAACTGTAGACATCGTGTTGCGAACAGCGCGATAATTTTGCACATTTATGATACGAAGATACTTTTGTATACGTATACAACTCTGCATAATATAGAAGAGAGTTGCTAAATGGCAGTAGGGAATTAAATAAAGTGATACGTTGTAGTATCCCGATTCTGTCTTCTTCTCAAGCACCGGCAAAGCCATACACTTCTAGTACTCTAATCTCAAAGTCGCCACTAGCACAAAGAGGTGGATTATTAAACGTGGAACACCGATCGGTCTTACCGAATCTTATATTTTCATCCATCCAGATCGCTTGTCCATCTCTGAAAACAATCAATTACAATCTTACAATCCAAATTTCATAAATGTACACTATTAAATTATTAATTAATTGACAAATAACCATAGATCTCCATAAATATTTAAAGACTTACCCTCCACCAATTGTTATCATTTTAGAATCTGCCGCCATGAATAGCTCAGCTGAATGATGAACTTTCGAATCATTGTGCGAGGAATCCATGCCTACCCAAGGGTATTTTGCTCGTTCAGGATACAAACTAAAGAGGAACGTTTCACCTGTTCCAAAGTAAGCTTGTCTTTGTCCTTTATCGTTTTTTAAATTACGTTCGCACCATCTCGTGGAGCAATAAGCACCAAATACCTTATAAAAAATGATCGAAACGAATTATGGCTTAATGTTTTAAGTAATAGATAAAAGGCCTATCAGTAGGAAATACTTACTTCATTATTACAAGTCTTAATCATCAGCAATGTTGGTTCGTGTTGCTCTACCCTCACGTAAAATGTTGTTAAAGAACAACCATGTTCTTCAGTAGTGTACAACAGAATTGGTTGATACATGGTGATCCTCATAGGTAACCAGGACCATAATGTGAATAACTGTCACAAAATAAAAACATAAAATTAGTACAATATGTATTTTACAATTAATGTTCATAACTGTGCAAACATTAGTTTTCAGTAATTCTCTAATTGTTCAAAAATACAACAAACTAAGTCACAGCAGCGGTAGATCATGCGCTTGACTGAAAAAAAATTTATATAATAGATAATTGTGAAGCCAAAAAATATAAAAAGATTTGTTTCTTTTCATTTTTAATGTAACGTCGATTTTATTTACATTAAATAACTTATATAAAATTTCTCTTTCATTTATGATATACGTTACTTAAGAATTACAAATATTTTATAACTATTTTCTGGCGTTACGTGCGTCAATATAAATACAACATATTACTGTCAATAATAATATTAAACTTACAATTTAGACTAAACAGATATTTTAACATTATAAAATTGATTGTGGTGTAATAAAAGGAACTAGTAAGAATATTAACAAAATAATTAACTATTTTACATAAAAAATAGTATCATTCGTCATGCAAAAGGCACGGGCATCATTCATATATAAAAGTGAATTGCTAAAATATTATAAATCTTGAGTGAATTGAAGCTGTGAAATAGAAAACTGATGGAGTAATGAAAATGATACAATGAGAACTAATTTTCAGAACATATAATTGCGCATATCCATCACATGTGTTTTCAAATGTCATTTTGGAGTAATAGCAACCAATTTGACTACATGTTATTGGCTACATGCTACTTGTTATTGCTGCAAGAAAAAAACAAATTTGTAACAATACAAATTAGTACAGGGTTTAAGGGAGGAATTTCAAAGGAATGGATGAGAAATGCATGAAAATTAAACAGGAACAATACATGCCAAATTAACAGCGAAGAGAGTGATTTAACTGAGCAAACAGATTTGTATCAAGGAATACATGAAAGTGCACTATTCTAGTCACGGTATCGATAATCAGGCCATACACCATTCAATTCAATGTAAGATATTAAATCTCAGGCAAAATGATGTACAATAAAAGAAGTGACAACGAAACTGTGAAAGCCGACTTAAATTGATAATCACTAATGTACTTGTACCTTGCACATGAATGACAATCAAAAATTTCATTTACCATCGGTCTGGCCATATTTGTAATTTAGAAGATCTGCTAAACGATTACCGGTTGTTCGTTCAATCGACGTGAATTGTACACACTTGAACTAGTATTCAGTCGAATAATAGCCAAGATCGGAACGATGTAGACTACCTAATATAATATATACTTGAAGGCGGCTGTATGTACACCAATAACGACAATATCGACATGCCAACAGAGAGGCGACCAGCGAACTACTGAAAACTCTGCTACTGCCGAGACTCTTTTACTTTGTTTTACTTTGTTTTCATTAATGAACGGCCGTAAAGTACTTACATCAGGTATGTCTAGAATCTGGGAGCATATACTTTGTATGGGATAAACGCCCATTGACAGAGCACGCGGTCCAGGACTGTGTGCACCCTACACCCATGACCATTAAAATCCATCATCATTCCAGTAACGCAGCATGACACAAGACAACACAAAACTGTCAGTTATGTTGGCGTACGGCTTTGACTCGACGTTATAAAAAATATATAGGAATAAATACTATACGAGAGACACTGGTTAAAACCATCGGAGAGACACAAAGAGCATAACAAGAAAAACCATCGGCCAGTAATTTCAAATCGTTTGATGTGACGCGCAAATGGAAATGTTGAATTCACTGTTAACCAGTGTAAATGATCTTGAAAAAAGAAAATTGTAAATGATGTACTACGGAAAGCATTGAAAATAATTAGTATAACATTAAAATGCGTCGTTCGAATGGCACATTTCTTATTTTTTTAAAATAGTTTCCTACAATATTAAACAGCAATAAGATTGAGATTGATGAAGCGCGCTGCTGCATTCACTGATCGAAACTGATGTTGCGTACCAAGCACTTACAACAGCTTTTCTATTTCATTCGTTTCTCGAGACAACTTTGATCATCCTATCGATCAATGACAAGCAAACATCTTGTGTAGCCCACCAGTAACAGTCACCATCTATATGATTAAGTTTCTCAACATTCTTTCTGGTAAATGGTTACAGCAAAGGATATTAATTTTCTTGATAGAATGTATGAATTTTTCTGTTTTCATTATTGTTACATTTGGCGTGTCATAGTTGCGAAACACTGAAAGCCAGTGAAGACCTAATGAATAGACGATATGAATCTTTGATCAGAAGAAATCAATTTGTTATTCTTTACTCGATAAAGGCAAGTGAATAGACGGTAACAGCAACAAAGCTGGCACGATAAAGTGTAACAATGGGTGAGTATGAATGAATGTAACAGGTATAGTAGTTCAGGAACAGAGGGCAGAGCACATGAAACTAAACAACACATTTCCCAAAAAGATAATTATACGATACCCTGTCTTTGTATGTGTCTTCACACTCTTTCTGAAAACAAAGTGAATCATTTGAACAGCTTTCGCATCATTTCATTCGCTACTGTTTACCCTAAGAAACTATGTTTAACCGACGATCGTTTTCTAATCGCTATTAAACGCTATTCTAAACCATATTAAATAATATATAAACTACTGATAACTAAAGTCTTCGAACCTGTAACACTTCTCAGAAATAAAAGGAATCATTCGCAACGATTAAAAAAAGTAATGGGCTCACATATATGTACATCATTCGTGAATATAAATTTTTATATTCTGAGAATAAAGAGGAGAGTAACGCGTTGTTAACATGCCAATAGTATCAATAACTACAAAATTTACAGGAGAAAATAATTCATAAAAGTCCAAGAAGAGAAACAACCAGATAGAATGGAGTAAAATCTTAGCATGTACGTGAGTCCACTTGTCAAGAACATTTTTGTTCAAAGATTGGAAGGAATAGGAATACGGATAACATACTTCTCGTATGGTGAGCGTGTGCGACATCATCTGAATGTTGACTTGAGATTGACTCGTGGGTAGATTGTCCGTGGATCGTGATCTAGCCAGTGATCTGGATCCTGTTAAAACGCTTCTACTCTTAAGAGCCATTTCTGTGCGCAAAAATACCCTTGATATGTACGCTGAGCTGAGACCACGTATTCCAAACGCGGTTCGCAAAAATTTAGCTGGTGTTACCTGCAATTACACGAATAATTTTTTTTTTTTAATGTGAATGGTGTATTCAGCCAAGTGAACTTGTTGGAAAAACGTTTATAAATTATTACTCACCGGTATCTGCCTACAGAATTTCGAGAGAGCGGCATCGATACCGTTCTTGGAAATTTCATTCATCCACTCGGAGTTTTGCAACGACGAGTGCTTGTAGAATAATAAAACTATAGCCATTGCTACTCGATAGAAGACCTGAAAATAAACGACAGGAAGTTAGCGAGCGGATATCCCAGTTCTAAAGTCAGATTCTAAATTCCTGATGAGCAATGTAGAAACTATGAATTGATGCATGGACACATTAAGAACAGTCAACAAGGAAAAATGTATCTTAAACCAATTTCTCATTGGCACAAGATCAACACACGAATTTACCATTCATACTATTCCTGGAAGAACATTCCACAACATTATACATATCTTTTGCTTCATCTTCTTTTTGAACCAAAGCCAATAAGTGTTTTTTTAATGTAGGTTGAAGAGGTAGAAGAGATATCTGAATATTTTGATACTGTTTTTCTTTGAATTTTAAATACCAACCTTGATGCCTTCGTGAAGAAAACAATCCATAACCCTGACTAGATGCTGGAAAGGGAGAAGCTGTAGGATCCACCAAATCCAATCCATGTAAATCCTTTCAGCTCTGGATCCAGAGCAATGCCTTGCTAGATGCACTGCAGCTGATTTCTGTTACAAATTATTCACATATGCTAAAAAAATTATTCATCTCCAAATTGCAATTGGTAACTATTATAATACATGGAAATAGAGTGATGAATGACGAGTTCGAAAATTAAGTATCAAAGTGAAGAATACATGACAGTAACTATCAAAGTGTTAATTTCATATACAAGGATACAAAACGGCCTGGAACTCATCTAAATGATGTACAAATAACTCATTCAAGGATGAAACAATGAGTCAACTGTTGATGATCAACCGGTGGTGAACCTGCTGCTACGTACCACGTGCTTCTTGGTGATCTGTTCTACAGTCTTCCAGGTGACCTCGTAGAGGAGCTTGGTTTGCGTAATGAACTTCTTGTCTTTAGCGGCGACCAAGCTGGCCATGCAATGATAACATTCCTCCTCTGCAACAGAGAAACAGAGATAGAAACCGTATCTCGTGAACACGTCCGATTTCGACCTATTAATAAAACTGGGACACCATCCAACCGTGTGTCCGCGTCTTAATTTATGCGATCAGACAAGAAATTCGACTTACGGGCACGCTATGTGAATTTCCATTGTGACCGGAACGAATGTTTCTCGAATAAGAAGAAGAACAAGAAGAACAAGAAGAAGCTCCTGTCGGTGCTTTATTTACCGATGTTTATTTATACATGCTTACCTGGCATGAAGTGAAGAAGAAGAGCGGTGATGGGATAAAGAGAAGGGCTGTAGGTGATGTCGGGACAAGCGTATCCAAGCACAGAGACAACCCTGTCCGCGACGCTCCTGCCTTTTCTCGTCAGGTGATACGACAGGCAATGAGTACTATCCACGAACGGTGGTAGCATGATTGATTTTTCCGGCAGCTCTGTAAACAGATAATTCCAGACATCAGTCGTACATCTAGCCAAGAAAACGGACTGGGATAATGATTTATAATTTTATAAATCTCATAGAGCCTAAAATCAGCTAATTCCCTGTCAGCATATGCCCGCCAATTTTCAAGATTCCAAATATTCCCCCTTTTAATTAATACATAGGCTAACAATTTTTTAGAAATAAAACTGATTTTTTGTTCCTAATTTTCTTATTATTCACCTGAAAAGAAACAAACCTGTGGTTCCAAACACTTGGTTGACCATATCCCAATAGAAACCATCTAGCATGTTCTTGCCATGTGCATGCTGATTGCAAAGAGCTGGCCAAAGTTGCGCCCTGATCCCGTTGTTCAATGGCCACGCATTCTCCCTTATGATCAGCTTAGCCTCCCTCTTTCTGCCAGCCTGGAGTAGCGCATTAACCTCGTTGAAGGTCTTCAACGCTTGCTTCTTGCTGGTGGGTGACTCGGGCTGTATGACGATGTTCGTCGTGTCGACGTGCGGCGGGAATGCATCATCGATGTCGACGTTCGCCTCCTCCTCGAGTACCGACAACATATTCGGCAGAGTGTCCGTCGAGGAGGGTGTCTGTGTGACTAACATCGCAGGTTGCGACTACGGCGCGAGATTCTTCTTCATTGTGCCGTTTTCTCGTACGTTTAGTGCCACGATAATAATTACGTCATATCCTGGGAAGTTTCAATTTTCATCTGAAAATAGAAATACCATGGATTTCAGCATAAATAGCTTTCGAGAATGAGAAACATTTGGTTAGGTAAAAAAAGTTGACGGGTGAAAGTCGGGTGGTCTATCGTAAGGGGCAGCGTTTAAGTAACTATATTCACAATATTTTATATTTATAAAATTTAGAGCGGTTTGCTGCTCAATAATGTGATAATTAAAAAAATAGAATAGATTAAATATCAAATATATAAAGTTTACATTTATATATTTAAAAAACTCTGGAAGTTTATATTCAGTAGAATTACAACGAAGTCGGGTTGCCTACCATAAGGGGCAATGGTACTTAAGAACCCTTTCACTGGATCCATTATATGTATAAAACTACCAGACTTTAGTATCTATTTTTACATTTACAAATTATTTATATAAATGAATTGTCGGCATCGTTAATGGTTTTCCTAAGCAATTATTAAGATGAGTTCTGCTTTGTATTATGAAGATTTATTTCCAACCTTCAACATGCTTATTTATAGTCTATTTCCTTGTATAATTCTTTTTCCCTTTTCTCAATTTAATTTTTTGTTGGCATTGTGCACACTGTTATACCGACGAATTCCAAAGGACATATGTGAACACATATGTTATAACGTAAACGCAGCATGTTTGTTTCCCTTAACTAGATGGCACTGTACGATTAATCGAACGTTTCAATCGCTGTTTTCATTGCACCATCGCTAACGTGCTTTCTAAATTTGTTCGTTCAAAGTACTGATCTTCCGTAACAGAGGATCTTCAGAGAAGAGATATTCGCGGATGCGGAAGAAATGATCTAACCAACTTTTCTATGAAAAACTGAAGCATTCCATGCGCAGTCTGTAATTACACGTACTTATAAGATGTCATGGTTACATTACCGGTTTTTCAATCGTGCAAATTGTTCAGCCTGGCAATTATTCGTGTACATACACTCTACAAGGATCGTTTCACGAGTCGAGTTCAAGACCGAACGACGGCGCATGATTCCAAGAATCTTCCGTAAACATTCCCATAATAACCGTGACTGTAGTTAAATGTATCGTCGTTTAGAGCCGCGATGCATTTAATCACGCGGTCGAGCGAAATGAGAAGCGAGAAAAAAAATGAACAAAGAGGGGAGAAGAACTATCTGAGCCAACGCATCTCTTCTGTTACCGTGTGCAATATACTTTTCGTTGACGTCGTCGGTTTGTTGCGGCACTTTGGTCGCTTTGCAATCGAAATCAATTGTCTCCTGTAAAGATGCCAGCGTAAACAAGAGCGAGAGACGCTTCTCAAATTTCGGGACAACAACGGTTTCTTAATTACCTAACTGTATAAAATCACTAGCATTCATGAGTCTCGATTCCCGCGAAATTTGAATTTGAAAAAAATTCTACGGTACTCCGAACAGTCTCTAAATATTTCTTAAATTTTTCAAATGCAGAAAGCTTCGATACTCGAACGAGAAACAAACGATACGAATTGAAAAGTATTGTTGGTTACGTTCAACTCGTGCGGGACGGCCAGCGTCGATCAGACAATGACCTCGACGATGTGTTTCTAAAGGAGTCCGGCCAGCAGGAGACAATGGATATATAATATTGCCTATAATTAGCCACGTTAAAGCTGTCTCTAATAATAAGCAAAGCAGCCAGATGTGAAACTCTGAGCTACGATAATCTCGGTGTACTTAACAGTTATTAATAAAATGCGCGAGTTATCTTGCAGCCACAAACACGTTTAATGCTTATCAACACACCATGTGCGACTCGGGAATATTACTGTACACAATCCGCAGATAGACTGCTTGCCAGATAAAGGCTTTTACGATGATGCCGTTTTCTGTCTGGAGGCTGTGCGGCAAACGGAAGAATTCTCTTATCGCTGGTTAACCCTTCTTTCGTCCGGAACATAGAATTAACGTTGATAAACAAATCATTAATGGTAAACAGAGAATTAAACGAAAAACCACGAAAATTTTTGTTTAAAGAACACTTACTACAACTATTCATATAGACATGACCTTAAAAGAACAATTATAAGTTACTTTTCTAATGAAGGAACACTGTGAACCCTTATTCGCTGAATTAAATGCAGTATTGTAGGTTCATAGAGTGTTCTAAGATAATAATAACAGCATACTTTATTCGTGCCTTACTACCCTTTAAGGACGTAAAAGCTATCCTCAAAGTCAAATGGCTGAGCGCACTTTTCCAAGTGATTTATTATTTTTATTTTATAGGAAACACGTGTTAAATTTGGAAAAATAGTTCAATAAATCTTCGATTAGAATTATGAGAGATCATAGTTCCATTTTATTACGCGCGATATGATTGGCCTCAACATTGCGCAACAAAATTAGAACCGTCTCTAGGTTACATCCTCTCGAGAATCGTATAAACTTGAGCACCAGGTTGTAAAGATTTATTTAATCACAGCATTAAATTTCAAATGTACACTTTTTAAACGAAACCGAATTCCTTCGGATTGTTACAGAGTTAACTGGATTTGCTATTTACAAAACAATTAAAATTACAAGTGTACTACTTTGCGGTATTAGCAATGATAATAATGAAACTAACTGATAATCTAATACGTTAGCAAACAATGTTTGCTAAGAGTGTGTGATGTATTACTATGCATTATGCATAATACTTGTTACAACAAAGATAAACAGTAGTAATAAATTAAACGATACATCATACATGTACCACCATTACATCACTGTACGTTCCTAATGCCGTTGGAGCACGTGATTGTTACTAATTAGGGTATTTAACATAACAGTAGTTCAACCCAGAGCATATTTCCCAGTACTGAAATAAGTTATTCCACCAAAACAGTATCAAGCATTACCACTGTTCTGTTATTAAAAGCTATCAGCATCTGATATTAAAATTATAATCTCCAATAAGTAACAAACATATTCGAATACAACATTAATAGAACACACGTGCGTCGACCAAAGAACGAATTGTAAATAATGCAGGAGGCTGAGAAAAAGAAAGTAAAATATACATTTAAAGCAGTATAAAACCCGTAACTTTATTTTCAAACGTCGTTCACGTGGCACAATAAAATGTGTCTAAAGCAGAAAAACCCTGTACACTTTCTTTTAGTTCCTCAGTTTCTTACATCTCTTTCGTCCCGTTTAATCACAGTGGATGCTAACAAAAAACTGTTCCATTAGTGTCATATTAAAATCTACTTCCATTTTCACGTCTCCTGGTCGGTGGTAAGATTTCTCGGCAGACACGGATTTTCAGAAAAAGAAGATGCACGTTTGATGCAGCTCGATTAATAATAACGAGATGCCTTGGTGCAAAGTGTGCCGCATGAAACCAGACATCTATTAATACCAGCCGTATTGCAGTTTACTCTCGCGAACAAAATCGTCGTCATAATGCCCCATCCACACTGGTGTTTACAAGTAAATCACATCATTCGATACATGTACAGTTGGTAGCAATAGAGACTTCTCTTGGATAAAGAGAAAACTTAAGAGGATCTTGGGATGGGCCTAGGAGATCTTAAGATGCATCTAGGGGATCTTAAGGTGAACCTAGGGAAATCCTAAGGTAGGCCTAGCGAGAGCTTAAGAAGAACCCAAGGTGGGACTAGAGATAGTATAAGGAGAGCCTAGGGGAAACCTAAGGAAAACTTAAGGAGAACCTAGGAAAAGCCTAATATAGAACCTTTGGTCCACAAGTCCCCCATGTCCCAAGTGTTGGAAGATTTCTTCCCCTAAACTTCCCTTAACTAAAAGAAGTCTAAGTTGCCCAAGACTGTACATAGTTCACAATCTATCTGCGACTACCAATATGGATGCGGCCTAAGAACTCGGCTACAGCTGAAATTCTACAATATATTCCAGTTTTACGACAGCAGGATGGATACGATGAGAGCGCACACGCCGGACGCGACTTGCAGTTGCCGTAGCAGATAAATATTATTGCAACTACACAGCACTCGAACCACTTGATAGTGTAAATATATCATGCATCGAAGACGAGGGCAAACACGCGGACATTGCATTGTTGAATACGTAGAGCAAAACAAGATCGGTATGGATGAGGCTCTGCTTTGCATTGCGACACGTGCGACCAACGACTGATTTGCATAATTCTGAAAAAACTTTCGCTTCAGTTGCCGGAATGGATTGAGAAAATTAATGTATATTTTTCTCCTTTAATATGTATTAATTTTTTCACTGTTTACCGAGAATCTAATTTGTTTGACGATCAAAGATACCTAGACAGATCCTTTCCATTTTCTTGACGTGGATGTTAAATGATTTGTGATTATAAATTGTTAGATAGTTTATTTGAATGTGATTATCTGAATTTCACAGACTAAACAGTTCAGTCTGGGTCAATAATCAAAGAATGATGTATGCATTGATTAATCAATTGTATAAATAATTTGTGGCAATAAATATTTCTATGTCAGCAAAAATAATGAGAAGTATCTGCATATTATCTTGGAAACCAACGCTAAAATTTCGTAAATAAGTCTATCGGCATTAGCATGGCTCGCACATATGACTGATTTCTTATCATTCACTTTTATTACCCATGCCCCAGAAAAATAAATGTTTTCCACTTAAAAATGACTCATTGTCAGTTAACAAGTTATGAAAAAAAAAGAAAAAAAAAAGATTTAACTTACGATATCGTGTTCGCATTGTAATCTCAACGAGCTTCGCAGTGGAATTCTGCTTTGCAACTTCTGCAATTCTGATTGCACGACGATCTTTACAAGCGACAATTATTGCACGGAATAATTGTCGACGTTGTTCCAAGTACTTAATTAGTCTACGCGGATCACTATTACTCTGTGACATGTTTGGATTGGGTTGCCACAGGGATTCCCGCAGATTTCAATGTGTACTTTTCAAAGTACCATTATGTGGATTTTAATAATAACCATTTTTTTTTTACAAATGTTATAGATATTTAAATTAGGAACAATTAGAAAATTAATCATTACTTGTGTATCTCCAATTGTCATTGGATAAATTTTATAGAAATTTTAGAACGAGGAAAAATTCAAATAATATTTCAAATAATTAAAATTATTTAATTAAGAAACCTTATACTACTCACACTTTTTATTCTCGCTTTTTAATTAATTATTCAGCTGCATTTCACAATGTCGTAATCCCGACGTGTAAACAAACGTATGATAATCAGCGAAAGAAAGATCTTTCGAGCAAGATAGATAAGAGTTTAACTTGATAGTTGCGATTCCATGGAGGCGTGCATTGTCGTGTATGGTCTTATGTTATCACCAGGAATTATCACAGAGGATTAACGTAGTTTCCGATAATTCTTCTTATCAAGTTTGCTGCTACATTTTTGCAACACGGTTACATCCAATTATTGCAACCGATAGATAAATGATTTTTTTCTTAAATAATCATCGTTTCAACTGATTTAGAAATTAACATAAATCTCAGGATAAAATTATCTTTAAAGTACTCGAAAAATATTATTATTATACTGTTAATTATTTAAGAATACTTCTATCGAACTTTGTTATTTATACTATGCCATTATTAGCATAACAGAATAAATGTACTGATGGTAATTTTAAACGAAACTAAAGCCAGAAATAATTCTTCCAATATGGGAACAATTTTCATCGTTATGTTAAATATAAAAAACATAATAAGAAAATTTTCTATTTGCTACCTTGCATTATTAGTGCTGTTCAAAATAATATTTTTCCACTGTTTTCTTTTAATTATTCAACTGCATCTAATTTACGGCGCCGGTCACCAGTGACCCTACGGCACTCGGGTGTTAATATTCCACTGATGTACTGAAAACAAAAATTAAAAAAGAATACTTCAGAATTAGTTTAACACGTTTCTGTTAGTCCTCTTTGTTACCTCTTGTTCGAACAAAATTTCATTCACCTTAACACGTGTATTTATAAAACAACCAAGTAATATAAATCACTGGATGATTATTTTTCAAACGATCTCTTTCAAACGTGTTATGCTATCTCGAAAACATTCTAAAAATCTTGTCGAAGAGCGGAAAATTTTTTGAAAAGACACGAAAACACCGTATACCATTCGCGTCTTTGGCACGAGGAAAATTTCGTTTTCGAAAAGAAACATGGAATATCGTAGCGAGTGAAAAGAAGGCCGGACGAATGGCGAGCAAAACATTGCATAATAACAGAATGTGAGTGTTTAAGAAAGAAAATATCTGCCGAGAAATTCTCAAGTGCCAAATATGCGTACGCGACTCGCTAATGTGATCTTGTAACCTTGATTTCAATGATCCACTACAGTTATCGTTTTATTTCATTTCAGATCTAATGCATAATTCATGTACTAGTAAAACGTGCAATTTCAACTTGTATTGAAATTAATTTTCTTTTAAGAAGAAAATGTAATTTTTGTAAAATTCGATCAATTAATTTTACAATTTATTTTATTTAAAAATTTGAGTGACATTTCAGTGGAGTTGTAAATAATTTACAATGATAATTGTATATTTCATTACTGGTGCCATTAATCCATTTAGTAATTTATAAAATTTTCATAAAAAAGTACAAATTAATTTAAAATTCCAGGGAAAGGATGAGCATACGGGAATGCTCGCAGCTGGTTGGTACATATCTAGAAAACTCTGGGGAAAAGTTCAAGTAACACGAATTACTCGTTAATCAAGCGCTAATGAAGTAATTGCATGTTCTGTTCAACGAAGTGCTGCGACCGTGTGCCGTAAAGATTCTAGAAAATTGGCAATTAGAGGATCGTTTCTGAACGACGACACCTCTTTGTATATTATCGACCAATAATACCCGCTGTAATCTGACTTGTTGCTCGTCGCAGTAGACGAGCATATAATGAGATTAAACCGGTGCTAATTAACCTACACTTCTTTTTAAAATCATCGCGAACAAAAATACGCAATTTCATATGAAAACAATTTTAGTATAATTATGGACCTTGTTACACATCGATCGAAGCGTCTTTTAATTCCTTTTAAAAAACTATTAAGATATTCGTGTCGAATATTGATTAATTCAAAGATATCTCAGGGAGAGACAGGGAGAACCTAGAAGTCTCTCCCTAAAATATCTTTTGAACCATCCAATTTTCGACCCAAGTACCTTAATACTTTTTTATAGGGAATAATAAGATCTATTATATGACGTTTAAGAAAGTATACGATTCCATTTGAAAAAATGGAATTGACCTTGAAATATTTGGAACACCACCATTTCCGGTGCTGACACATCCATTACCGGATGCTTCATTGGACGGCTTTTAATTTTTCTTAACATTTCTTTCTATCTTTAACTACTTTAGAACTACAGACTAGTTGCTTGATAAAATTTCCTGTATACCCTGTATAAAATTTCAAAGATAAGGAAGATAATTAAGCTGCTCATTTCCGTATTGATTAACTTCCAGGAAATATCCAAGTTGATAGTGTAAAATAACTGAATTCGTTTATCGTGCACGAAAGCTTTTTCTTTATGTAGTAAGTCGCATCAGAAGGCTCGCATCCGATGGCATCGTTCCAAATCACATGACACCAGGTGCGCGAACTATATCCAACTATTTTTTTTCCTTCTCTGTCTCACGCGACTGAGCACTATTTTAATGAGATGTACCTGCCTGTTATAAGCGTTGTGGTTATTTTCACACTTTTCACATGCCAATACCGTGCAAACACCGTTTCAGGCCCGATGCAAAAGAAGAAAAATGAAAAATTCAATTATATTTATTTATTAGAGCCAATCGTTATTAGATTTGCTAAGTTGAAGTAGTATTAAAATTTAATTTTTATTAATATTAGATAGAAGAGAAAAATTGTCCAAAATAATAATTAAAATTATTCATAATACTTTGGAGAATGAAAAATTCAAATCTTACGGCTATCCGGTGTCTGATAAGGAATAATCGGCTGTTATCTATGACATTTTTGTGTAATGGGATTTTGAATAGATGCTCATGTGTATCTAAACGGGCGACCCCCAAACGCGTAACACGGACGTTACGTTTACGGACGGGCTATAATTACAGGGCCATTAGCGTTTAATGAAATGCGATGGACGAATCGGCGTCATTGGGCAATTATTCGTGGACACCGGTTGCAACCGGAAACACAAGGAACGGTTTGAAATTGAAGCTGATGTTGCAAGAACTTGCAAGCTTATTTCATGGAAATTTTCATAAATTGCTTCTTATTTCATAATTTTACAGTAAATTAGCTAATGAGTTTATTTAACTGTAACTATCCCTGTAAAATTAGCGGATGAAATCAATGTATACTTTCCCTCGTCTCGTGTAAATCTTTTTTCAAACAATCATCGATCGATTTGTAAGTCGGGAAATTCCGTCTTTTTAGAGTGCAAAAAGGATTCGCTTTCTAAATAGATTGCTAATGGGAACGGATTTACTTTCACGCTGTAATCGCTTTTCCACGATGTTTCCTTTATAATTACACGCGCACACTATGGATCACGAATAGTGGATTAACGATCAAAATTAGATCGTAAGAAGCCTGAACGTTCCCCTTTTAATCTAATTACTTTTGTAATGGTACTCGTGGGAAGTACTGACCGAGAATACTTATTATTATCCGCTCTAGTAAGAAGCAATCTCCTAATTCTTTTTTCTCTCTTCTGTTTCTTTTTCAACGCGTGCAATGAACTGAATTCATTCGATGGAAAAAGGCTAACATCCATGATAGTATCGTGAAACAGTTTCACGTTTTAAACATCGAATAAGAAATTTCGATTTACTTTGTAATCTATGGAATTTTCTATACCTCTGAATTTAATTTTAAAATATTCTATTGCGAAAAAATTTTGCAACCAATAATGTCTTCACGCTATAATATTTAAAATTTGTATTTGCATAAATTAAAATGCGTTAATTAATTGTCCAATTATCAGTTACATAATTCTCTCCTTTTTTTTCTCTTAAGAATTGATGAAAGAGAGAAACTGAAAAATAAAATTTTTTACGATTAAACAGTTCCTTTGCCAACTGGTGTGAATGCACGCTGCACAGACGTGTTCAATATTATTTATTTTGATATCCTGGCAGTTTACACTGACGATATCAAGCAGAGGAAAAAAAAATGACAAAAGCCTGGCAATCACGAGATTCTTTTTTTGTTTAAGAGAAAAAACAGAAAGGAGAAAGAAAATAGTACACCAGGTATAAAGAACTGCTTCTTTTTCTTTTCAAATCGTACGCTCGTGAAGTCACGATAAGAAAAACATGATTTAATTAATACATGTATCCTTCGATCGAGCGTGGTAACGCCGTTAATTATACTTTCCTCGTGGTTAAAACTGCTTTCATGCAAAAGAATCGACTGATAGCATCATCAATATTCATTATTTCGTTCACTTAGCGATTATCGAAACAATAGCCAGCTAGTGGAAGTATGTCAACGACTCTGTATTCCAGTTGAAGTATTACAATACATTGTTTTACAAGTTCTAATACTGCTATTTCTAGCATATTTCAATCTAAAAATAGTAGTGATATTATAGTACCCTCGTTGATATTATAGTAATTAATATTAATTAATATTCCATTTTTTTGATTAATTTAATTGTAGCTTTATTATCTTTTTCTCGCCATTTAATATTCATAATTGAAAGCTGAGACTCGCTGCAATTAGGTTAGTTTAATTACGTTGATAATTAAATTTTTTTTTTAATTAACTATGAAGTGAAAATACAGTATTTTGTGTATTATATTTTGTTTCAAAAATATACATATAGTACAGGTGGCATCCCTAAGTACAATACTCTAGTGGCATTGTATTATAGTATTCTGATTTATGAATAATATTATTACCCAGAATAGTATTTAGAGCAATGTTTTAAAAACTTAAACAGTAGTTAGTAATTATCTTTAATAATCGGTGTGCAAACTAAAAAAACTCCCACGCGATAAAATGCTGTTATATCACGAATTAAAAGTCTTATAGTATTTGTAAACATTTGAAGAAGTCGAAGTTATTCTTGTTCTGTGCTTGATATATATGTACAGCCATGCTAAAGCTTCGAGCAAAGTGGCACAGTGTAAGCCTAGTAAAACATCACTACGGTATATTATTATGCATGGTGTGCATTAATTATGCGCCAAGTTTCAGCCAAACAGGTGATCCAAATATCAGTAGCTTCCCCGTGGAAATTGGATATTCGAACAGAGCCAAGCTTCTGAATATTCAAGTGACAAACACTCGAATACGAATTGAGTGGCTCGTGAAAGATTCGTCGGAAAGAATTCTACTTGAAAATTTAGGTAATTGGAACACCTCGATATTAAGGGGTTCAACTAATGAATATTCTTCTTGGTAATAATGTTACTTGTGAATTACAGTGTTAGATCTACTACTGTGTAAAATTGAAATACCGTAATAATAGTATAATAAAAAAAAAATTCTAATTATATTAAAATTAATCTGCTCAATATCCCTCTCTAAAAAAATTTAATTTATTTCAATAAGTAAAAACATTCATTCCAGTTTAATGAAAAATTCCTCTCCCTTTTCAAGTGTAATAACGCGCGAATTCTACCCTCGAATTATCTGGATAATTCAAACAGCGCGAGTTCCATTAATTTTCTACATTTTCTCTGGCGCGAAAGACAGCCTTGAATGTGTTTCGCGAAATACGCAAAAATTTCAAGTTTCTGAGTGACGTGTTGAACGTTTGACGTAACACAGGGAAACGCTTACGATTGCGATTTCCGTCCAGAAGAATTTATACCGTGGTGAGAACACTTTGAAAAAGAAAGACAGTAGTACCGCTCGTAACCCCGATATTCTCAA